AACGTTATGAAATATGCTTTGTTGTACAACTTGTGGGTTTACGTGCGTGAAATCGCCGCTCGCTTACCATCTAAATACTCAGATAAACAACCGGTTGATAATGACATCACGAACCGGTTATTCGGCGAAAAATGGACGACGGAAAACTCTGCTATCCTTATGATAGAGGACTACAACAGACTAATATTTAACGATTTTAATAAAATTGTACGGATTTTAAATTTGAAGGGAGATGGAGAATTGAATGTTATTGCTGAAATGTTCCAATCGTCATCGTCTGCACAGACGTTAACCGATTTAGAAAAAATCAAAGAAGTCGAAGAAAATATTTTGGGCCAACTGAAAAATGTCAACAATTTGAATTTTAGTTTTAATTTTCCTGAATGTTACTTTTCTCCGACTAAATTTGACAACAAATATTATGAAAAGAGGTATGCGGTGTTAGCAGGGAAGTTACCGAGTTATGGCTATTCACAGTCTGTGACACTTGTGAGTCAATTAAGTTTCATGTTATTCAGTAAGTATGTAGAAAGTGATTTTAGTCAATACGACTTTGATGTTATCGCTTCATTTGATCGGTTTTCCGGAAAATGAGAATCTCTATTAATTTGTTTATTATCATAAAATAGTGGTATATTATTTTTTCTGTTTATTATTACAAACTGTTGTTTATCATTTTTTCTGTTTAACTTTTGCTTCATATATTTAAACTGTAAAATGTAATGTTAATTTAAAATGTGTGTATGGTCACTAAATAATGTTACTACATCAAATCAATAAAGGGTGTTAAAAATATAACATATTGTTGTTTACTATTTGAACTGATTGATATTTATAGCTTTTAAGTTCGGTATGATTTTTCCCAAAGGATATCCAAATAGCAAAATTGGAGTGAGTCATATTGGATCGACTAGACTTATGTTTATTGTATAGAGCTTTCATTAAATGCCCTTGCCAATTTTTTCAATTATTTTAAGAAACCTGAAAAATACAAGGTGTGTTTGATTATGTTATGTCGCAATAACATATTGTGGCTGATTTTTATTTTTTGTATCTAACCGTTTATCTTAATAAGATTATAAAGACATGTAAAAATTCGTAATTTTTATTAATTTTTTTCCCTCCTGTTTACCCTGTTGTGAATAGAAATATTTTTAAGGCCTAAGTTTATTCAAGTAGAATACTACTTCTTTTATACGTATACATAATAATTTTACCGATTAAAAAATGAATGCACCACATGAGTTAATTGTCAATTGTAATTATCATGATTATAACATTACCAGACTCAAAATGGTAGCCACCTACAGGAGACATTTTTTAATACTTAACTCATACACAATGCGCGTTTCATGTATTTAGTTCATTGGTGCATCCTTAAGATTTTATGATTTTCTAATAATCGCCTACCATTTACTTGTAACTGTTCTTCAATTTATGTTCCGTTTATTTCGATGCTATTTGAACATTAGCAAGTAAAATTTTATTTTTTTTATAATATGTTATATTTGTAGGCATCTGAAACTGGTACGTATTAACTTATTTTTTTTTTTTTAAGTAAAATAATATCATATTGTTGTTTATATTATTCAATAAATGTATGCTTGATACTGCAGTTATGTTCTATGGTCGTTTTTTCACGGTCAAGAATTTTTTGCTTGTGTTCTGTTTATTAGTATTTTAAATTTTGGTTTGACTTGTTTATTTTTTCATTAAACACAGCCTCGAACGAATTACTCGCATTTTCGTTCATATTGCTTTTACATTGTACTCTTTTGGTATTAAATATCGACAGCTTGATTCGATACGAATTACTAATGGGTTTTCCGGAGATCAGAAGGAGGGGGGGCTTAGTATGCTAACGATCTTAAAAAATAAAATTAGTTGTACATTTATTTTTATTTTAACAAGTCTATTACTAAAAGATAAATGTAGGTATTTTGAAAAGCACTAATTTTAAGTTTAAAGGGTTTTAGTATCACAACCTCTCCCCTATTTCCTTATATCTGCCAATGATCCCAAGGAAGTAGGTATTGAGAATCAATTTGGTTAAATTGTCTAACCTCTATTAGGTACTAATGAGTGATATAGAGTACACCACTTTTGAAAAATTACACTTTAGAAGGTAAAAAAAGATAATAAAAACCATTGCTTTTTAGAACAGATTTTTATTTTTTGTTTTTAATTTTGACGTTAGTGTGTTATTAGGTGTAACATCACGCTCATTCTAACTATTTTAAAGTAAACCCTTATTTAGTTGGCGCATGCGCAATATCAATCTTTTAATTCCGAAATAAACCCCATATTTTTCGATTTTTACAACAAAAATTAAAAATGTACAGTTTGGTAACCAAGTTTGTGGGTACTCCATTATACCAATAGTACATGAAATATTGTTTTTAAAAAGATTCTTAGTTTATTGAATCTTACTATTTGTATATAATCGTCAGGCCTCATGCGATATGTTTCGTTTTTTATATTTGTATAGTATATCCAACAAGGTATACTCCATCACCAAAAATAAAACAGTACAGTAAGGTAAAGACAGCTTAATAAGGATGGAGCACAGTGGGGCCGAAAAAATTACAGGACAGTGATAAAATCACTTTTAAATGTACGCTTCGATGCGTTTCTATGGATAGTAAGTTCAAACTTGTATAATGCAAACCATTTACAGTATAAACCAGCACAGTAAGAAAGTATTAAAGTGCAGAGTCCACAAGTCACAGAAAAGCGTTTATTTGATGGTGATTTTATCACTTTCAGTTATTTTAATTCCTGTAGAACTGTGACCTACCCGTCCCCACTATACTTTTTAAATTATTTCCAGTTATAATAATAGATAAAGACTATTTTTTTAACGTTAAAATACAATTCTTTAACGTAATATTTAGTTGATTTTTTCAAATTAAAATATAAACAATAATACGAATTTTATACCAATAGATCGGCATAGACTAAAATTTAATACAAATTATTTTATGCAAAACATTAAAAAAATATTCTCGTCACTGTGATGAAAATATGTAGCCATGCAGAAAAAAAGAAACCACCTGTTAGCCACCTATGTAAACTAACAAAGGTACACTGCAAAATATATTTAGATTTTAATGTTTCGGTCGATTTGAGTCCATGGACAAAAGTCAAGAAAATCACATCAATACAGTTAATAAAGCTGATCATTTAAAAGTTTGATAATCTTAATAATTTATGTAAGTAACACTATTAACTTAAAGAGTTTTGCAAATTGTTATTTGAATAAAATTGTATTGGAATAAAATGTTTTTGATATCTTTATTACACAATTTTCTTAAATAAAAAGTTATTTGAATAAAAAATTGTCTTCCTATATTAAATGGTTTTATATATTTTTTTAAATTAGAATATACTAGATGTATACGAAATAATATTTTTTAAACAAATTCAAATTATTAATTTATTCGAATACATTTTTATTCGAAATTTTTTAAATAATTATTTTTTTTAATTTCTTGAATAAAAGTACTTCAATAATATGATGAATATTGAGTTAAGTTTGTTTCAAATGATGCAACATTGCAAATAATTAAGGCAAAGTTAAAAATCAGTTTTTTTTTAAATGCGTAGCTTAGATATAGAGTTATATTTTATTTTTTGCGATTTAAATAAATATTACTGTCCAAATTTTTTTATTCTTCATATCTTTAATAATGTATAAAGTAAAAATAAAATCATAGAAGTGTATTTACAATAAAATACATGTTTGAAAAATAAATGGTAATTTCAGTTTATTACACCGTATATTTATTTAGGAGTGTTGTAAAAAAATTACTCAGTCCTACTCAAAAGCTTAAATGACTTTCTCATATTTGTTTAAGTGTCAATTAACGACGTTCAATTATAATTTTTTTTACCAAAACATAGATATAAATAACTAATACTATCTTTAAATTTGTTTTTTTTGCAGATAAAAATGAAACTCTTTTGGTTTTTAGTATCATGTGTCTTTGTAAATGTTTTAACAGATGAACTAAGTAACTTTTTTGTTTTCATGCTTATGTATTTAATTTAGATAACAAATGACAGAAATTCAGTATTTTCCATTATTATTTTTATTCGAGTACTTACCTACTTACGGTAGTAGAATAATTAAAAAAAAAATTAATATTTCTTTTTTTTCCAGCGGATTATAAAAGATCCGTCTCAGTTACAAGTCAGTTAAGTGTGTATTTTATAAAAAAAACGTTTTCATAAATATTTTTTTAAATTATGTATTACAGACAACCACTTATACCTTGCTAATGAAATGACTGTCACTGTCGCACGAACTGGTTTGGTGGAAAGTAACATATATTTAAAACTAATTCACTAATACATTTATGTTTTGTTATGTTTGGCTGACAGTCGAGCTATTTATAAATTAAAAATTATAATTTCTAAAAATATTTCAGAAAGGTGCACGAGGTATATAGAATCAATTTTCTAAACACTGTCTGATTTGTTAAATATATAAATGTCAAATCATTTATATTTATATTTAGTAGTAGTATAGAGGTTTTATAATTTAGTTCACTTGGCTTTAGGCAGTGACTACTCAATCGAATAGGGGGAGTAGCGGTAGGGTATATTGTCAATACAAAATATATGGTGTAAGCAAGTGTTTACTCTGATACTTATTTAGAGTTTGTTTAAAAATGTTTTTTTTTATTTCAGATGCATTGGAGCATGTTATTGAAAAAATTGTTAAGAATGATAATTTTAATTTAGGTAGTAATAATTATAAATGAATATAATAAATAAAGATAATACAAATGTTTTTCCTACCTAATTCATCTTGTAGTTTATAGTAGAATAGAAAATGAAATCTGTGAACATTAATTTATGTATGTAATGTTAATTTTAGAAATTATGAATAATATGTTCGCTGTACCGGGTAATATTTTCAAAGAATAAAATAGAATTAATTCCATACAGTTGTTTGATATTCGTAGAGTACGCACGCATTTATGTATTATTTTCAGACTTCTTCTATAGTAGAAGCTTTCCTGGTAACTACAAATGTATATACCATATTTGAAGGGTACTGGGAAAAAAACCAGCAAAGTCACTTTTTTCTAATCTAAGAAAAACACGTTTAAATAATGCTAAAATATGTTTTAAAATGTTAAAGAAATACTTAAAACTTTTGAAAATATCGTGTATTTTTGTTTATAATCGTGCTTTAAAGTAAAGAACAGATTCGTTTTATATCAAAACGAATTTTATAACGAAAAATTGCCATTTTTAAAAAGTGACTTTGCTGGTTTTTTCCCTGTACCGTTCGCTTACAGTAGTTTATACAAATTAATTTTATTCTATACATATTATAGAGGATAATCATAATATTAATACAATATTTATAAATGTATATATATATGGTTTGAATCACAAGAAATAAATAATTACAATTTATTTTATGTAAACTTACAGTTTGCGAAGGTATCCAGACAATGTTACGAAGGGAAATACATCATCACCTAGGTAAATAAAAAATTTACAACTGATAATATATCGCTTCATGTTTATTGAATAAGCCTCTATAAACCATTCGAAATATAATTTCAACATAAATCGAAACGTTGCTTTTAGAAATAATTTAATATGAATACTAAATTTTGTAATAATTAATCATAGTTTAAGAGTAACTGTACAGTTAATGTAAAAAAATGTTTTTTATTGACTGTGTAATAAATTGACTATTGATATATTTGTTACAGGTGTTATTTTTCCTAATGATCCAGACCCAAGTAATTAATAACTTTTTTATAATTGATATTAGCCGTTAAGGCTTGTTTAGAATACACATTTGTGTTTGTATAAAAAGTCAAACAATTATTTTGATAATATAAACTTTTAGTTAGAGAGATAGAGAGATAGTGGGTCTTCATGAAACTACCATTCGGTTACCTTTAAACCTCAATCAAAAGAAAAAAATGTATTATTTATATACAAATAAAATGTATAAATATTTTTTGCATTAAGGTCGTATATCTAATTGCAAATAATCTATGAACGCAATCCGTCCTTTGGATACATTTTTTTAAATAGGTTAAATATTACAAAAATGTAGAGTTCCAAATGTCTGATAAATTATTTTTACAAAATGTACATACAATTAAAATATCAAAATGTACTATTTAGAAAGAAGAGCTGCACATTATTCGAATACAAATGTTTTTAACTAATCATCTAGTTGAATAATTATATAAATGAAAATGAGTGCACGGTATCGACGGTCTTCAACTGATGTCAAACGAGAAAATAATGATTAACCAAACCCTCGCAATCATGTAGCTTTGGTTCGTTAGGGATGGGAAAATACAATAGAAAATGTGTGCATTGGAGATGAGAATGCTTAAAGAAAATTAACGTAGAAGGAAGAAGAGGATGCAACTGAGAATGTGATGAGGACTACTGGTGTAAAAAGCCTGTCGTGAAAAGCGACTATTGCAACGTCGAGCCGAACGATAATAAATGGTATACCATCTGGTCCAGAACTTTGGCTTTTTCTGCCTTGGAGTGTTTTATATAGTTCTTGTAGTGTTGCATTGTTGAGTAGATGTGCTGGGTCTTTTCAGTTACCTAGGGAATGGTGAGTAGGTCTGCTGTTTTATTATTTTTTATTTTTTCCCATATTTCCCTGCGGTTGAATTTATATTTAAGGTAGATGTAAAGTCATGGCATGATTTGGTTTTGTTACTTGTCTGGGTTTTGCCTAGGTTTGTTTTAATTGTATGTTGTCTTGCATTGTATATGTTTTTTGGTATATGTGGTTTTGTTGATGCTCTTTTGCTGCTTTATCTGCTGTTTCATTTTGTGGGATGTTAGTACGAGAGGGTACCCAAAGTAGGATCATTTAAGTTAATTGAGAAAACATAGAGGATTGTCATTGTTTGGTTATTTTTGATTATTTTTTTGTTAAAGTTTAGTGAGAAAGCTAGTTCAGTTACATATAGCTATGGCCTCCGCTAAAAAGATGTTAATGAAACTGTTCATTTTATATTGACTTATATTTTCATTATTTACAATGGCTATTCCTACTCCGGTTTCGGATTGTGATGCATCAGTATAGATCTGTTGATAACCGAGAAGCAAGGATTGAATGATGTTATTAACCTTGTTTAGAGAAGTTTTCTGATCTGTGTTGGGTTTTTTAAACTCCGTTAATTTTGTATTGCCTCTTGATTGAAGGTCTATTTTCCAATATAGATAGTTTGAGGTTTTTATGCGAATTGTATCTATCATTAGAAGCTGGACTACTTTACTGGTTTTATGAAGCGTTGTAATAGAGTTAGCGGTGTATTTAATTTTGTTTTGTTACTTGTCTGCATTTTGCCTAGGTTTGTTTTAATTGTATGTTGTCTTGCACTGTATACATTTTTCGGTATCAAATTAAAGCTTACTTGTAGTCTTTTATTGCTACTGCACAGTCATTATTCCGCCAGGGTACTGCCTAATTAAGTGTTTTTCATATCGAATTGAAATTTCAGCGGCTTTATTGATCATGTTGTAAATTTGTTGATAATTTCATTGATATAATCTGGATTGATGCTTATTGGGATATTTCCTAGGCAATTGTCTATATAGTTTCCAATTTGGGTTGTTCAAATTCCATTTTTAGTTGTTGTTTGGCCACCGCTATTATGAATTAATGATATTCCATTCTATATTGAGGCTGAGCTGGGTATTGGGCTATAGTCAGATCTATGACTGAAAAGGAGTCGTTTGCTGCGTTATAATGTATGGGTTCATTGTTGTTAAGAATAAATTATCGTCTTCTAGTATTTTTTCTTCTATTTTACCTCATGTTCCGGTAGATTTGCAACCCCAAAGGATGTTGCATTTATTGAAGTCTTCTAGGATGATGAAAGGGTGTGGAAGTGGGCTTATTAAGATTCTAAGGTTGTTAAAGTTTAGAGGAGAGCTATCTGGTGCAAAAATATTACACATTTTTTGTTAGAGGTGTATTAAAGTGGTTTTATTTCTTTTGGCGATGAAGTTTGTAATTTTTCACTGTAGATATCAGACTTAATAAGTGCGGATACTCCCCCGCTAGCTTTCCGGTGGATTGAACGGATGTTGTGATAGTGATTGAAGCTGGTTTCTTGAAAACCTATTGCGATAGAATTGGTTTGTGTTATTAATATTTTTATATTAATGAATCTTTTGAAATAACTTAGATCGTGGAACTATAATAATGGAACCATTGGATTAAGTGGTTCACCATTTTAATTTGTGATGACTATAGTATAGTCTGTATGGATGGGTTGTGTGTTGAAGTTTTCTAATGAATAATTTTTTTTTTTTTTAGGGGTTTTCTTCAATATCTGGATTCTGACTGAGTAGTGTGTTGATCAAGATCTGCGTGGTTGCTGCCTGGTTGATTGGTGTATTTAATTGGGAGAAAGTCGTATTGTAGGGAGTTTCTGAGTTACTTCGGTTTCGTTAGTGTATAGATTTGTTTAGCGAATTCTTTTCAGTGAGTAGATGTATGACCCGGTTTTTTACATGTAAAACAAGTAAGGGCGATAACCAGTTTCGGATAACTACTTTTGAAGTAATTGATATTACAAGTTTAGGGCAGAAGAAAGGTGGAGTGTAGTATTTTTTTTATTTGGGCGCATTTTTCAACCGCACTTCCTCTCCAATCATAACTTTTAAATTGAGATCACATTGTATAAAAACAATATAAAAAATATAATTTTAATTTCTCATTAAACCCTATGAGATATTGAGGGTTTCACAATAAGTGGATCACTGTATATATATATATATTTAAACACCGTCATTCAATAAATTTACAGATTTTGAATCATATACTTTGATAGTACTAGCCGCACAAAGAAGAACTGTTACTCTGGAAGCTTTAAAACGAATGTGGAACCGGTCAATAGGTAAATATTAATATAGAGTAAATAGAAATAAAAATAATATGAAGATAAATAAAGAGTGTAATGTAATCATGATACACTATGATTACAGAACAGTTAGAATGAGCCCAGAACCCTTACCTCATATTCTTTTTATATCCTATACCAGGACCGCACGTGTGTCACTATACAAAGACAGCTTTGTTACTGCACCCTTTTTTCTAGACTACCTATGATGTATTTCAGGAAACACTGGAGTATCATTTTAGGTACACGATGACCGGTTAAAATAAATATTAATTATTATTCTAACATATACTTTAGAGACATTATTATCTTATATATTACTGTATTTATATCATTCTTACAAGCGATAACACATAATGAAAATAGCTGCTCAAAAACACGCCATGCACTTTCTATTGTAATATTATTTTCAAGTAACGTAGATGTTTATTTTTTAGTTAGAAATTATATATATAGTGTTCATGTGGGGTGTCGTTTCATTGCGGTCTTCATCAGTACAAAGTACCCTACACACTTGTCAAAAAATGTTGAGGACGTTGGTGATCAGTGTACCATATCGCATGTAGTACCAAATAGTTGGCAAATAACTAAAACATTTAGAAAATTTAAGTGGACCGGATGGAAAGAAGTCATCGGCGATGACATGGATGATTTTCGACCACTCCAACCAGAACCAGTTGTAACTCATTTACAATGAAAATGTATAAATTTTTGTTTTATTTAAATAATATTTACATTTTGCACTTATATACCTTATACCACTTATATCACTTATACTTGTTAATTTACAATTTAATGTAATTCACAATAAACAGTTCACGATTATAATGAAATATGTTGCTTATGTGTTGATTTAAACAATTGCTTAATATTTTTAACATATTTTACAGATCGATTTAAAGTATTTTTAAAAACAAAAATTATCTATTTTCTGGTTAATTTAACGAAAACAATATGAACTCGTCGGCACATCCAATACGAATAAAATGATTTACAATACGTGCATAGATATTACATACCACTGATCTGAGATCTTTCTCTCAAGATCTATTCTTTGCTGCCTAATATATTCACTGTATCCAAGTTAATATCTGTACTGTGTTCATAAAACATAAATAAACTAACCATTTGTTATTCAGAAACTAATATCGGGGTTCACTTAAAACGTAACAAATAAGTTGTTTTGCTTAGTAATTTGTATGGATATTACTTTTTTCATAAAAAAAACGTTATGTTAAGGTTTCAAAGTATGAGAAGTTATGAGAAGTAATTAACAAAATACAATGATTTTTTTTAAAACATTTAATATAATAGACGTGCTCATAGCAATTAAATATATTATAGTAACCCCGATGTAGGAAAATTATCTACAGTGTGATTGTAACTTTACATGTATCTTAGCATATAGGATGAGTGGGCGGTAACTCAAAACAAAAAGGACAACAAATTATGACCTTTCTGAATTGGACGTAAAACAGACTTGACCGTAATGTAGACACCACTAGTTTGATTAGCTGACTTTTTTGGGAGGGGATTTGAACCTTTTCCTTTTTTTCTGAGTTTCTCTTTCCCATCAACCACATAACTCCTAAGTGAGTACATTTTATAATCATATTGTATGCTTCATTGCGAAACTGGAAAAGTGTTAAAGAATACAAATTAAAGAAAAGTGTTGCTCATGAAAGTAGGAGTGAAGTGTGGTGATCTAAAAATCAAAGAAATAGCAGATTTTGATACAATGGAGAAATAAATACTTTGATATCACTATTTTGAAGAGCTGACTTTTTTGGGAGGGGGTTTTCAAAGGATGTTATTTTAAAAATTTAATATGATTAGCACAATAGGTAAAATAGAAATTAAATTTAAAATGTGTACACAATACATTTGTACAGAAAATGAAATGTTGGTATAGAAATTATATCAGCTATATAAATTATATCAAATATAAATTGTTATAGAACAAAAGTAGTATTGGTAGATCTTCTAAAACTTTTGCGAGTAAGACGGCTAGTTAAGTTGCCGTAAAGAGTTTTAAAAATGAATGATTAAAAAATACTTTTTTTTAATTAACAAAAAAAATAGTACAGACATTTGTATTTTTAAAAGACACTTTTTACTTTTAAAAGAAGTATTATTACGAATATGTTTTACTAAAAACATCATATTTTACATGGTTTTAGCTACTTAGTTAATCACTGGTTGATTGGAGTACATTTTTTCGTATCCATTTTTCCGCTGGAAATTTTTCCGCAAACATAATTTCCAAATGATCATTATTCTGAAATTGTGCAAAAATTTAAACGAAAAAACTTTTCTGTCGTTACCGTGTCAACGTAAATTAATAAACAGTCCAAACCTTTCATTCAGGCTACAGTCTATGAGGAGGTAACAGGTTTAAAATTAAGTAGTTTAAAGCTTCAGTCTACTATCCTACGGCAGGTCACAGAGTGTTTTGGCACTCGCTCGCTACGCTCGATCGGCGCCGTCGCTTCGCTCCGCTAACTAAAAATATCCTAGGTTTGTAAGCTACAGTCTAGGGGGAGGTCACAGGTTTAAAGATAAGTCCAATAATTTGTGTTGTAAAAACATATGATGATCGCAAACATAAATTAAAATGGTTCATACGAGGAACATGCTGAAGATGGCACACAAGTCTAATATTTGAGAAACTTGGCTCATAATATCTGCTTATAACTGTAATATACGTTATACAAAAATACAAAATAATTTATAAATGATACCAGAATAGAAATTCATGTTTTTTTTTGCTGGACAAATTTGCGGGATCTTGTCTATGCGGAAAAATGTCCTGCGGAAAAACGTCCTTTATATCAGTGGTTTAATTTTAAAACATTTTGTTAACATTTTTCCTTATAGCAAGTATTTTCTAATATAACCAAAGAGGTTCACCTGAAACAGATATGTAAAACTATTATTTAGATTCATTTAAATTAAATAGGATAACTAAAAACTTATTATTATGTGTATGTTTAAGACAAATACACATGTTTTATTGTTGTATTGCAAATCTGGAATTAATCAATGGATTTTGTGCACTTCTACTTTCTGCTCATACGGGTGCCATTGTTATGCCATTTGTCTATGCTATTACAAAGTGTTCTGTTACATGACAATAGTAATAAATGATAAACTCATGAAATTTAAAAAATCAAAATATGTCTGTTTAAAATAATAATATGTACTTTATAGTGAAAGTATCAGGTAATACTTACTTTTATAACATTTGTTCAGGTTTTACAATCAATATCTCATGGATTTGTATTAAATTAAACTGTGTACTTATTAATGTAAATTTTTAATCGTTAATTAACAATAATCAACATAGCAAACTGTTAATATCACCAAAACGCTTAATACACATGAATAACACACAGAACCATATAAAAAAGACTTATTTTATTTTTTATAGTTGACAGAGAGCTAAGTGTAATAACTTGGAGAACTATCAACTACTTATATATTCTCCTTTTTTAACATTGAGCATATACAAAAAGTGATGGCCTTACATCACTATTTGTACATTAAATTCAGAACAACAGGTATTAGATGAATAGATACAGAACTTCCAGATATACAGCAAAAAATTTACAAAACGAGAGTTGACGATATTTTCATGAGTTTTTAGTGTATACCAATTGTATTATATCTAAAAAAAGATCCGTACTGTAATTTTATAATGGAAAATGTGTACATTTTTGGGTCATTTTTCTCGAATATTCAATAGAAAGATGTAAATATATGCATTATCAGTTTTTTTGAAATAGAAAGACATAATATAAATATATAAAAAGTGTACCTACAATCTTGGACGTTGAATTGTACTACTTTTTTAAAAAGTTGAAATGATAGAACTTATAAGAAAATAACGATTCGATCAGCTTGTTAAACTAACTGCTTTAAAGTGATTTCGTTTTTCCTCGTAAGCTCCTTGTACTAAATGCAGAGCCGTATATGGGGTCTAGTAGACTCCTAGGCTAAACCTGCGATGTGGGCACTACTGGTGTGTATGCAATACCCTACAATAAAAGCAGGATCTACAGACCCTCTACAGAAACATCTTAAAAGCTAAACTGTAATCATCCAACTTTATAGTGCTTAGTCACTTTTTGGATTTTTTCATTACCTATAAAAAAAAGTTTACCTTATAGATATTATAATTACACAGGTTATAGGTACATGTTAGAAAATTAGTTGGCATATTAAAAATGTCTAATAGATCCGTTCCCCTTAATGTTGCGGACATAACGTTATATTTGTTATTATCTTTATAATTATAAATCTAACACCAATAAACAATATTATACATTTTTACTATATTTTTAAAAATAATTTTGTTGAAGATCAATTTCAGAAACAAATTCGTGGGTAGCGGGAGACTAACACGAATTGTGAACAAAAACAAGTCGTTTATATCATAACGTAGTAATATTTTGTACAATAAGTTTTTTAATATATTCTGCAATCGTAGCCTGCAGTTATGTACTCTTTGCATTATAAGAAAAACATGTTTTTGCATCTAAATGTTTAAACAACAACAGAAGTTTATCCCTACGCTAGATTAATGTAAATAAGTAAACATATAGAACAAAACAATCCAGCTTAAAGTTAGAAAAATGTATTCAGGCAACTCTGCATAATACGTTTAAATTTTACTGTTTCGGTTGACATAATATCAAGCATTGTAAGTACGCCTTTAATTTGTTGTTATTAGAGTGTTTTGGGTTTTAGACAAGCGGTAACAATTAAAAGCTAGGCCAAAGTCATTAAAGTACAAGTAGATAATATACCAGAAATTATTAAAAAAATATATGACATATTCATACATCTTTATGTATTTTTTATGATCCGTCTATAAATAACGTTGAAACTAAAAATGTTTAAATGTCAAAAACTGTTAAATGTTAATGTAAATACATCAATCGTATCCTTTTAATATCGAATTCCTATATATAATCTATAAATATTATACTCCACGTCCCGGCCAACGAGAAATGTAAAGGTATTTTCATAGCACACTATCGTTTTTTATCATTTTCGGAGAAACCTCCATTTAAATAAGGAAATTGCCGATTGATAAATTACAATACATCTTTTGATGTACTTAAAAAAATAAAATAAAATTTTTTTTTAAGTAAATATAAAAAACATAATTTTAAAACTTATAATTTATTCCCTATTAAAGCTAATACAATGTATAAGACTATAAAAAAAAGTTCAAAGGCCGGTTTTAGAAAAAAACATTTTTTTCTTGTAGAATTAACTCTTGTTATTCTTTTTGTATGGTTTTTAGAACAAAGTCCAATATAAGTTAAAAATATACAAAAAAAAAAACAAAACCCACATCTAAATTTTGAAATTATCGGCTATTTTTAAAAATAATGTGATTTGCTTTTTTAAAAAAATGCTCAACATTTAGAGAAATACATCTTTTAAAGTTTTGTACTTCAGTGGTTTAAAAACTATGGTGTATCTTATCTACGCAATCAAGCTGATAACTAAATGGTATCTGAGTCTAACAAAAAATGATTTAATGTTTATGAATATGTTTGCAGACAAAAATGAGCCTTTTACGTATGTTAATATCGTTTACTTTGGTAAATGTTTTGGTAGCCAAAGATTTAGGTGATTATTACATTTTTACACTACACGAGGTAGTTATAGGCTTTTGAAAAAAATCAACATTTAACTTTTTTTTTTTTTTACAGATGAAAATAAAATATATAAAAATGAGGTTTACGTAACAAGTAAGTAAACATTTTTTTAATATGGATATGTTTTTGGGCTGTGGGTCGTTCTGAAATTCGTGTTACGA